TATACAATTTTAATTTTGATATTTTTTTTTTACATAATTTAGGAGTATTTAAATAAGACTACAGTACAGTGATATCCAAGGTACAATATTTCCCGCTATAAATAAAAATATAATAATACAAATTTATATGGCACATGCAGAGAAAAAGATCAACTTCGTTTTGTATATCAAATTAACCTTGATCTGTTTAATAAAATTATTTGAAAAACTAACCTCTTNATAAAATTATTTGAAAAACTAACCTCTCTCCCATGTAATCGATTCTAATGGGTAACCAGCAACAGGACACGTCACAAAAAGATTTTCTCCCGATACAATATTCTTTTTTTCCATAGGTCTTATGAAAGGTAATCCATAAACATTTAAATGGGCAGTATGTTCAGCAGTACCTACTTTAGAAACTGCTACGCATTTATAATGTCCTCCATCATTTGTGTGTACAGAAGAAATATTTAAATAGGAAACGACTTCACCAGTCAAAGTAATATGTTGTCCGATACGAAGTCTTAAAAAATAGAAAAAATTAAATTAAGTACATTCATACTTATTATCAAACTACCTTTCTGTACTACTCAGTCGCTTTGAGTCAAGTTCCCAATTTATTTCAGGTGTTGGGTTACCAGATGCAATACACTTTAAGTGTAAGGATACTCCCGGTTGCATTGTATTATCACTAAAGTATTCTTTGATATGAGGTGGTTCAACTAAAAAAGTCGTAATACTCATAAAATATTTAATTTAAATTAATTCGTTTTACTTACATCGTCCTCCTAATTTAAGTTCAGCACTTCCTTGAGCACTTTCTTGTTCGTTTCTCACAAAACATTGATACATTCCTTTATCTTCTTTACGAACTGAGTCTATACGTAACACTCTTCCATCATGAGAATTCAATTTTTTACCATCTTTTAACCAAGATATTGTTTTTACCGGATTCCCTTCGTAATTACATGTTAATGTTGCGGGTCTCCCAAAATCCACAGTTTGAATCGTAGGCTCGATGATAGCATTTAATGGAGCTAAAAACAACGATATATAAGTACATAGACACAAATTTTAAATTATGATTAGTTCACCTGTTACAGTTAATACGGTTTCAACGCTTTCACCACCAACAGAATTATTGACAACACATAAATATTTTCCAGAATCTTCAACTTTAGCTTCTCGTATTATCAATGTTCCAGAAACCTGCTTAATTCTATCATTTAAAGTCACCGCCTGTTTCTTATTAGAACCTTCTGCGAACTTATACCACCTATGCATATAATTTTATTTGTTTACTTCCGCATTGAAGTCTAGTTAGACAATTAGAAGTGTGACCACGACAAATAAAGCCTAATGCAATAGCCGGTTATCTTAATTTTTTTTTAATATTCAGAGGATATAATAAACATAAATATTTTATTACTAATTCGGTATATAACGCATATCTATTTATACGATATCATTTTTTTAAATGGTCAGATAAACTCAGCAATAATACAAAACTGTCGAAAAAATTATTTTTAAATTGAATTTTAAATGGAGATGTCCGATTACTGTACTTCACGCTTTCATTTCAATGACATAAAAAGCATAGACACAAACAAAAAGAAAATTTGTATTTTTCTTGACATAAAACAGTTTGCAAGCACTTTGCTTTGATTTCATTAGAAGTATATAATTTTTAGGAAAATACTTTATTTTTTTTTTGTTAACTCTGAAATTTATAAAAATTATTTGATTAAATTTTCAAATAGAACAATAATTTTAATAATTATTTTAAAAATATGTATCATCAAAGCAATAAAAGTAATATGTTTATATTTTGCGTTTATCCATAATTACAATACTTAATTTTATCTCCCTTTTCCAACAAAATAACAC